AGGTATTTGAAAATGGGAAAAATATTTATGCTTTCAATTTTTTTTTTTACATAACACTCACATAAAAATAAATGATGGAGCCCCACTAATCTTTTATTTCTCTTCTCTCTACAATAAGATCCACTTACTTCTTTGTGAGTGTGCAGAGAAATATTTTCTATAGCAAAAGTAGAAATATTAAACCCTTTCAAAATATCATTAGATTGTTATTAATTATTAATCCTAATTATTAGTACCAAATAGCGTTATTAGTATATTTACTTTACTTTTTTAGCGTTTCAATTAAAGTTAATTAAAATATTTATTTCTATCAATTAAACCTAATTTGTATTGTATCAATTAGATTAGTCTTTATTAATTTTACTTTTTAAATTTTTTAAATCCCTCTTATAAAAAGGCACGTCAAAGTATTTTAATGGACTTGAATTCGTAGTTATTGCATGGCCACGTCTTTCAGGTGATTGACCAGACTATAGCAACTCCTTAAAAAATTTACTACCTTAACTGGCAACTTATTTCCATGTTAGGTGTACCTCTTGTTTGTTAACGCACGTTTTAATCTTCGCAATAGCAAAATAAAATAAAATAAAATAAAAATTACAAAATGAAAGCACCTGCCTCCATATTCCCCCACTCCTCTCACATTCATTGTCTCTGTAAATAAATTAACTATTTTGTAACTCCACACACATGCCATGTGATTAATTCGTTTTTAGTTTATTTCAAAACTGATTCTCAAATAAACAGATAATTGATTCTAATTGAATTCCGATTACTATTGGTATTTAATTATTTATTGACTTTCTTGAATTTCAATTAGCATTAATGAAATAGTTTGACTGATATCAAACATTCCTAATTTATATATATATAAATTAAATGGGATAGGATATTGTGACACCCAACTTATGTTACACCCATGTGACACCCAGTCAATCTCACCGTTAGATCGCTTATGTTGATCCAACGGTTATATTTATTTACATCTTTGTATGGTCATGATTTCTCAAATTTAAAGTGAAAGCATTAAATATGGGAAATCATAACCATACAAAGGTAGAAATAAATATAAAATATTAAATTTGGGAAATCATGACCATACAAAGATGGAAATAAATATAACCGTTGGATCAACATAAGCGATCTAACAGTGAGATTGACTGGGTGTCACATAACTTGGGTGTCACAATATCCTATCCCAAATTAAATTAGTATTTATTAATTTTACTTTTTAGTATTTGAATCCTTTTTAGATAAGGCCATATCAATTAAATTAAATGAGTTCATTGTTCTCGCACTAGAATGAATATCAATAAAGGAATATTACGTTTAATTTCCTATTCCTCTAACATTTTCATGATTTTTCTAGAATATGGACTTCTAATATGAGCCCATAACAAAATCCTTCTTATAAAAGGCAATATCAGTCTTGAGATAATTCAACATTACCCAAATCACACCAAATCATGAACAAAATGGTTCCCATTCTTTTCATCTTTTCCCTTCTCTTATCTATTTCCCATGCTTCTGTCAATGACTTTTGTGTAGCAGACCTAAAGAGTCCAAATAGCAATTCAGGCTATCCATGCAAGTCACCAAAAGAAGTAACAGTGGACGACTTTGTGTTCTCTGGCCTTGTAGCTAAAGATGCCACAAACACTACTTTCGGATCAGTATTAACCACTGCATTTGTTAATGATTTGCCAGGTATTAATGGGCTTGGTATATCTGGAGGACGGATAGACCTAGCTGAAGGTGGATCAATCCCTATGCACACACATGCTGGTGGCAGTGAACTACTAATAATGGTAGAAGGTGAAATAACCGCTGGTTTTATGACATCTAATGCACTTTATTCCAAGACATTGAAACCAGGAGATGTTATAGTTTTCCCACAAGGACAAATGCATTTTGGAGTCAATTCTGGTAAGGGAAAAGCCATTGCTTTTGTCGCTTTCAGTAGCGAAAACCCTGGTGCCCAACTAGTTGATCTTGTATTATTTGGCAACCCCTTATCTTCTGACATCGTGGCAAAAACGACATTACTTGATGTTGCTCAAGTGATGAAGCTGAAGCAACGTTTTGGTGGCAGAGGCTAGGATTATTTGATTATGTATTGAATCTTAGTTTTTTTTTTTTTTTTTTTCAATAATCATTATCAATAATAAATTTATTAGTATGTGTACGTGCTCTTCTTTTTTCCATTTCTATTTCCCAGTCCCAAATGTTAAGGCATATATGGCTTGTGGGTTTTGCAAATGATTAATATATAGTACTGGACGATTTTATGATTCTTATCTTTAGCAATGATGTATTCATCTTTTAATTTCAGAAAGAATTCGAGATATATCGGGCATATATAACTAATTATTACCGATTAAAATTTTATTGAAAGCTAGGCCACAACGTGTGCATAAATGTTATGCACTATTTGATAGTGAAAGAAGTCGTTCAAATAAGAATTTTTGTCGCATTAGTTTAATATATGAGAGATGAATTTGTATCAGAAAATTGTTCTTTGAACTAGAACTGTCTGCAGGAATAAATTTTCTCTTTTGAATTGGTGGTCTACAATGTAATGGGGCTTTACATTGTGGATTGAATTTGGACCGAACATGCAGTTCTTTAATTCATGGGTACCAAAGAAGAACATCAACACCGACGGTGGTGGTAGTTCAATTAGTGCACGAGAGATGAGCAGTGACAAAAAAAAGTTTTGATTCGATTTCCATATACCATATTTGGGAGGAGCTTAAATCTTTATCCCTGACCCGCCCTGTTCTTCAGATTAGTTTCACCGTCAACGCAAAGAGTCGAAACTTTCAGAAATATCAGCGGGAGCCTAATATGTTTTCCAAAAAAAAAAAAAAAAAAAAAGAAGAACATCAACAAAAGCTGAAGGAGATTGAAACTTCTTAATTCGTCACTAATATTGCGAATTTATGCTGAAATTAAGAGTTAATTGATTCTAAATTTCTAATTGAAGAAAATACTGTATTCAAAATTAAATTAATGGAGAGAGAAAAAAACCTAAAGACATTGAATCTTGATTACATTAAATCAAAAGTGAATATAATTTGTTACTTTTTAATTTGTAGGAATTTTGAAAGATTTAAAGAAAAAAGAGAGAATTATCTACGTGTTAATTAGTATTTGATTTGCTTAATTTTATGTTAATTTGTATTATAATAATAATAATTTTGTTATTTTAATTTCTTAATTATTAAATATTAACTATTATTTATTATGCAAATTACAATTCACGGGGGATGATATATAATAGGAGAGGGAGAGGCACTGAAATTTGGGCGATGGAAGAGGGGTTTGTTGCCGTGCTTGAGGTAGCACTTGGTTAGCCTGCTTGTGTGGCTAGCGTGTTTGAGTAACACTGCTCATTCTGGTTCCGGCCTGAGTATCTAATGTGGCACAAAGTTATGTGGCCCAGCATGATTCAAATTTTGGTCACTTGAAATTCTCAAACTTTATCACATATTTGAATTTTTCGGACGAATTAGGAAAGAAAAAAACACTAATTAAATTATGATTATAGATAATAAATTTGACAATTTTGAATTAGTAGGTATTTCAAAATATGGTATATTGTTATTAAAAAAGTCTTATATTAGTATCAAATAGCATTATTAGTATTTATTAGCTTTATTTTTTTAGCATTTCAATTAAAATTAATAAAATTATTTAATTAATATCAATTAATCCTAATTTGAATACAATATTATGATTCTTTAGCTATGATTTTGAAAAAAAAAAAATTAGAATTAATCAAAATTCTCTTCTATTGTTTTATTTTTAACAAATTCAAATTTTGAGATATTTGAAGAAGTTTATGTTCCAAGATCAGCTGAAAATATTGGTCATTTCAAATTCTCGGACTTTCACATATTAAAAAATTTTAAATCCTTCTTATAAAAAGTCAGCCAAACTATTTTAAAGGACTTGAATTCTTAGTTATTGCATGGCCATGTCTTTCAGGTGATTGACCAAACTAAAGCAACTCCTTAAAAATTTTACCACCTTAACTTGCCACTAGCTAGTTTTTTGAATTTGGTATGAGTAGAGGTTAAAATGTGGTAGAGCTGTAGTATGGGCTAAAATTTTGGGGGCGGGTTTTTGGCATGGGTTAACATTTTTTGCTGCCCCGCCACTGATTAAAGTTGTCCATATATAGAGGTTGGAGGAGGTACCTGTCCATAGTAGGTTGTGCGAAGAAACGGGCAATGCACTCATCCTGTTCTATTGCTCTCTTGGCAACACTATCAAATGGGCTGTTAACCTCGCGGTAGGCATGCTGTAACTTCACAGACCACGATGTCTAACTTATTTACCTGTTAGGTGTACCTTAAAGAATGGGAATTATATATGCTGTAACTTATTTACTTGTTTATCAAAGAACGTTTTTAATCTGCGCAATTGCAAAAAAAACAAACGGCTAATTGATACAAATTTAATTCAGATTAGTATAATAAGTATTTATTGACCTTCTTGCATTTGAGTTAGCATTAATGAAATAATTTGACTGGTATCAATTAATCCTAATTCGTATCAATTAAGTTAATATTTATTAATTGAGATAAGATATTGTTACTACCAATTAGTATTACTACTAATGTCATTAACACTTTGTTTCAACGTTAGATCGATTATGTTGATCGAACAATACTTATATTTATTTCCACCTTTGTATGATTATGATTCCCCATATTTAATATTAAAGTATCAAATATAGGAAATTATAACCATATATACAAAGATAGAAATAAATATAAAGTATTAAATATATGAAGAAGAAAGAAGGTTTTTAGAAAGTTAAATCAAAAGCGTTGGATCAACATAATCGATCTAATGGTGAAACAAAGTGACAATGACATTGGTAATAAAACTATTTGATAATAACAATATTCTATCTCTTATTAATTTTACTATTTGAATCCTTCTTATAAAAGGCCATATCAGGCTTGAGATAATTCAAATCACACCAAATCATGAACAAAATGGTTCCCATTCTTTTCATCTTCTCCCTTCTCTTATCTATTTCCCATGCTTCTGTTAATGACTTTTGTGTAGCGGACCTAAAGAGTCCAAACAGCAATTCAGGCTATCCATGCAAGTCACCAAAAGAAGTAACAGTGGATGACTTTGTGTTCTCTGGCCTCGTAGCTAAAGACCCCACAAACACTACTTCTAGAGCCGCATTAACCACTGCATTTGTTAATGATTTTCCAGGTATTAATGGTCTTGGAATCTCTGCAGCACGTGTAGACCTAGCTGAAGGTGGATTTGTCCCAATGCACACACATCCCGGTGGCACTGAACTATTCATGATCGTACAAGGTGAAATAACCGCTGGTTTTATGACACCAAATGCAGTTTATTATTCCAAGACACTGAAACCAGGAGATGTTATAGCTTTCCCACAAGGACAAGTGCATTTTGTTGTCAATTCTGGTAAGGGAAATGCCACTGCTTTTGTCGCTTTCAGTAGCGAAAACCCTGGTGCCCAAACACTTGATCTTCTATTATTTGGCAACAACTTACCTTCTGACATCGTGGCAAAAACTACATTACTTGATGTTGCGCAAGTGATGAAGCTCAAGAAACGTTTTGGTGGCAGAGGCTAGGAATAATTGCTTATCTATTGAATCCTTGGTTTTTTTTTTTTTTTTTTTCCAATAATATTTTTGTTGGAATCGAGAAAATGAAATATTTCCATTAAAGTTAATAGAGCTGGATAAAGAAAAAATCAGAATATTCTGAGAAGATAAGTGAACTTGAGCAACTATTTTGGATGGCTGTTGATTTGAGTCCAGTATTTAACTGGAGTCCTTTGGGTTTTGGTTTGGGCTTGGGTCCATTGGACTTTGATCCGGTAAGAATTATCAATAATAAATTTGTTTGTGTACGTGCTCTTGTTTATTCCATTTTCATTTTCCAGTCCCAAATGTTAAGGCAAATGCTAAATAAATAGCATACGACAATTTCATGATTCTTATCTTTCGCTATGATATATTCATCTTTTAATTTGAGAAAGAATTCGAGATATATCGGGCACAACTAATGTTGTGAACTGTTTGATAGTGAAAGAAAGCACAAAGTCGTTCAAATTAGATCTTTTATCTCATTAGTTTAATATATTACAGCTGATTTTGTATCAGAAAATTGTTTTTTGAACTAGAATTGTGTGTAGGAAATCAAATGAGATTGGTTTAAGCAGTACATGTTTAATTCTGCTTAAGGAATGTCTTAGATTCAAATCCTTATGAATATAAAAAATCTCATTTGAGAAAAAAAATTATGTGTAGGAATAAATTTGCTTTTTAATGGGGCTTTTTTTTAGATAATCTAAGGTATCTTCACTTAACCTCCTCCGGCCAGGAGTAAAAGTAACTCTTAATTGAAACTGATGGTACATTAAACCAATATTATTGGAGGAAAGACAAGACTAATTTAATGAGGCTTTACATTATGGATAACAATTCTTGAATTCATGGGTACTAAAGAAGAACATCAACAAAATGCTGAAATAGATAGAATCCATGATTTATGTAATTAATTCACTTTTTCTTTCGACTTTCACAAATTACCTGTAATTAATTCCCCCGTTACTTGATTCTAATTGAATAATGATTAGAGAAAATACTGTATTCAAAATTAAATTAATGGAGAGAGAAAAAAACTTAAGGACATCGAATGTTGATTACCTTATTGTCTTGATTAACTAATTAAGGACGTTGGGGCCGTATTATGTTTCAGCCTAATTACATATACAACTTAATTATTTACCAAAGGAATGAATCTGAAGCAATTAATATGGCCCAACATAATTCAAATCATTATTATTTCGTAAATTGATATTTAAATTCATCAAGTGAAATAATAATTAACATTATGAATAGTTGTCAATTTTCTGACAATATTTTGGAATGCCTGCAAAATTTAAAATACCAAACTTACTGTCAATAATAACAAAATTAATTTATTTTCGTATTTTAGGAAGTATTCAAATATTGAATGTAATTTAAAGTTGGGTGAATGATGAGATACACGCGCGGTTTATAATTGCTTAATTTATAGAGTTATTCATGCAACGTTACAATTATTGTGCCATGATTCTGATTTTTTTAATAATTAATCAAAATTCCATTCTATTGTTTTATTTTCAACAAATTCAAAATTTGACATACCAGGAAAATTTTATGTTTGAAGAAATGAAAATTTTGGTCACTTAAAATTCTAAAACTTTATCACATATTTGAAATTTTTGGGTGAATTAAGAAAAAAAAAAAAACTATATTATGATTACAGATGATAAATTTAGCAATTTTGAATTAGGAGTATTTCAATATAATGTAGATTGACTGATTGATATTAAATAAGTCTTATTAGTATAAAATAGCGCGCATTATTAGTATTTATTATTATTATTTTTAACATTTCAATTAAAATTAATAATTTTTTTAATTAATATCAATTAATCATAATTTGTATCAATTAAATTAGTATTTATTAATTTTACTTTTTTTAGTATTTTAAATCCTTCTTAGAAAAGGTCAGTAAGAGACTAATTAACACAATTCAACATTACTTTCACACCAAATCCATTCGTTAAAGTTTCAAGATAAAGATGGTTCACATTCTTTTTCTCTTGGCCTTTTTCTTTTATATTTCTCATGCTTTAGTCAATGACTTTTGTGTAGCATATCCAAATAATATTTATAATATTATTATTATTTTTCAAATTGATGTAGAGTTAATTGAGTGAATTAATAATCATCATTATAAATAATTCTTACTTGTGATCTTTCAGAATTGACATGTACCCGACAATATTGCAAAATTGATTACCATTATAAATCAATTCATTAGAGTTTCAAGATAAAGATGGTTCCCATTCTTTTCATCTTCTCCCTTCTTTTATCTATTAACTATGCTTCTGTCAATGACTTCTGTGTAGCAGACCTAAAGGGTGCAAATAGCAATTCTGAACTGCTAATAATGGTAGAAGGTGAAATCACTGCTGGTTTTGTGACACTAGTTGTTGAATTATATTCTGGTGGAAGCTTTATTTTTTTTTTTGGTAGACGAGCTGCAATTTAAGTTGTTGAATTTATATGTATTCTAAGAGATCAATGAATAAATTAGAATTATTTAAGATTTTAGTTATTATTTGAATTAATGAATTCAATATCAATTTAAAATAATAATGATAATAGTATTATATATCTACATTCTTAGTATTAATTACTATTTATAATAGTAATAAATAATTACATAAAATGAGAAAATAATGATATAAGAGAGACTGGATTTTTTTGAGCCGTACAGTTACAATACTTCGACATGACAACATTCACTAAACACGATGAGGTGGCTAGTTATGCAGTACCGATACCGACACGGGACACGTGACACGATACGACACGACAATTTGACACGTTAATTCTAAAAAATATTAGATTTCGACACGTTAGGACACGTTTTGATATTAAATAATATTTTTAATTTATATACTATATATTATATTTAATATTCAATAATTTAATAAAAAAATAATCTAAACTTATAATATTCATAAATTTCGCAAAGAAACATAAGATATTCTAAATATTTAAATTAAACTCAATAAAATAGTAATCGTAATCCAACGAATCTAATAGTTGGAACTAAAAACTCAACGCAACACAACCTTTAAATCTTTTTTTGAATTTCTATAACACGTGTTGGAGTGTCGGAGAATGTCGGAGTGTCCGAGAGTGTCAGACACGACACATCAGGATTTTTGAAGTGTCGATGTTTCATAGGTGGCTAGCATCACAACATTCATAATTAGGATTTATTTTTCCATTTATAAATATCTCATTTCCGGTCATTGAAGAGGCATCTTGCCTCAAGCTCCAACATTTCATGAGCTGTTGAAGGGTCATTGTGCCCTTTCACCATTCCTTCTCTCAGCCTTAGCCTAAAATATTCAGTGTGGCTACTTCGTAGAGCTTTAGTTCATACCACTTCATTCAATTATATCCAAAAGATATAAGCTCCTCACTAAACAGTTCGTTATTATTTTTAATTTTTGAAAAAATATAAAAAACCTTTTTGGTATTGTATATTTCAAAAATGAATTTATTTACATATTTTGAAAAACAATTATTAAAAATATTTTTTTCCTAATAATTCACAAATAAACGGGCTCTTATATAATAGCTATTTATACGATATAAAACAAAAAAAATTCATACTATTGCATCTTTGGTAAATGATAAAAAAATAAGAGAAAAATATGTCACAACTTATGTCATTTTACTCTCACACAAAAATGAAACTCACTGGAAAAATAAAGAAAAAATAAAAATAAAATGTAGGACCCACCATAAGTAGAGAGATACTCAACCAAGTTAAGATGATCTATCTTTGAATACTTGAACTATATTAAATACTGAACAGACTTGAGCGTTGAATTGTCTTGGAGACGTCCCTCTCTAATCTCCTCAAACTAATCAGATCCAAACAACCCTACCAATCATCTCGCCAAGCAACTCAAAATCTCATCAAGTTTATTTGTCATCAATCCTTCTCTTCGTTAACATCATTTAGCTTCAACTATGTGTGATTAGACCTAGCTCTTGGAATGATCACGATTCATTCAAGTTAGTTTATTGGAGCAAATTGCCACCTAGCCATATGCATGTTTAAGGGAAACGTGGCTGATTTTGATGAGAATATATTATACATTAGCAGTTTATTTGCGCTGAGTGCATGTGAATTCTGAAGCCGTACGTGTCAGGCTATATATGTTGATGAAGAGAGAAACAAAATAAGATATCAATCTGTATCTATCAACAGCACACTGAATCCGCTGAATAAGTCAAAGTATAGTGTATTGTAGCAGTGCCAGGCTGTGTAGATGAAGTTACAGTGACCAAGAGAATGTGGTGGTAGCGTCTTGTAGTGGTGGAGGATTCATATAATTAGGATCTTGTAGCGGTGGAGGACTTCTGCTAGTGCTAATTGTTGTTCAGATAAGCGGTTGCATGCCTCGACCAAAATGAAAACATGATTTTACTTCGATGGCAGAGGGATGCATATATAATGGTATTCTTTTGAGAGAGGGAAAAACAATTTATCTCACTCTGGGTTCTGCTGATACCTTATCCACCACTGTTGTTTTTTGTGTGAACAAAAAACTATATTCACATTTAGTAACTTACTATATACTTATAATTAGTTGATTATTGTCAGATATATATATATAAAGGTCGAGATTGTTCAATATAAGAGAGTACTCTACATAATATTAGTAAATCGTGTCACAAAAACAAGTGAATTATCAATATTTTGAATTTTACCAACAATATTTGACAAAGCAATATGTGGATTAAATTTAATCTTGTAAGTTTAACTAAATAATTGATTGGGAGAATTCGATTTTTATCCTGCTATTGTCCATTCCATCTTAAATTCCAATAGTAGAGATCTCAATGATTAAAATATATATGTTAGAGATATAATATATACAATTATTAATATATCATTTACTTAACAGTATAAAATTTTGAATTAAGTTAGATGTTGTACATGATATTAAAATATCCATGATCAAATAGTTATAAGTTTGAACCTTATTACTTTTGGTCTGTGTACTATTCACGTTTCAAATGCAACGAGATCTTGCCCAGATATATGTTAGGGATATAATACATAAAACTATTAAGGTGGCATCTACCTAATAACTTAAATTTTTGAATTGAATTCGTGAATTAATAAGTATTTGATCGATAATATATATACTTATAAAAAAAAACTAAACTTAAAATAGCAGAAAAATATCCACTCCAATTTTTTACAGCTATGCTAATAAATAATTAGGAGTGAGGATATTCTAACTACCAAAAACTCTCACTACTAACTTACTACCCATCACATCACCATTGGATCAAAGAGAGAGAATGTTAAAAAGTTTTTGAAGAGAGAGAAAATGTTAATCTAATAGTGATTAGATAGGTAGTAAGTTGGTAGTAGAAAATTTTGGTAGTTAGAATATCCCTCCTCAATAATTAGATACCAATTCTCATTAATTACCAGAATGTCAACGTCTCAGGTGTTCCTCATACATTGAAGTTGGACTCAAGGTAATATTGCTTCAAAGGACTTCAATTTACAGCCACTGCATGGCAATATTAATTTACCTTTCCTTTTCAACCAGTAAGAATAGCTCTATAAATAGCTAGCCAACTCAACATTCCCTTCATATATACCAAACATCCATATTCATCTATAAGATGAAGATGATTCACATACTCTTCCTCTTAGCTATTCTCTCATCCACTTCTCATGCTGCTGTCAATGATTTCTGTGTAGCAGACCTAACAAGTCCAAATACCCCAAAGGGCTATCACTGCAAGACCTCAGTAACAGCAGAAGACTTTGCGTTTCGTGGCTTTGTAGCTGGGAACACCAATAACTCATTCAATGCTGCATTAACCTCTGCATTTGTTACTGATTTCCCAGCTCTTAATGGTCTTGGTGTCTCTGCAGCAAGGTTAGACATAGCACAAGGAGGATCAATTCCAATGCACACTCATCCTGGTGCAACTGAACTACTTATAGTGGTTGAAGGTCAAATCACTGCTGGATTCTTGACACCTACTGGAATTTATGTGAACACACTCAAAGTTGGAGATCTTATGGTTTTCCCACAAGGACAGTTGCATTTTCAGGTGAATTCTGGTAAAGGAAAAGCCACTGCTTTTCTTGCTTTCGGTAGTGCAAACCCTGGTGCACAACTACTTGATCTTCTATTATTTGGAAATAATTTACCTTCTGAGATGCTGGCAAAGACTACATACCTTGATGTTGCTCAGGTCAAGAAGCTCAAGGCTCGTTTTGGTGGCAGAGGCTAGGTTTTTATTTTATGCAATTCGGCCATATATATCCCTAGCGTTTGTTCCAGAAATCATCGTTAATTAGTAGTAAATTTGGGCGTGTTTCCTTTTTTCTATTTCTATGTTGCAATAATGTCAATGTGTTACGGTTTGAAGATTTCGCAAATAATAAAGATCCCCGTGGAGAAAAATATTATAATCTCTATGAAGAATGTTATACTTACAACCTTTTTTCTTTACAACATCTTACAACCATATCTTAACACCGTTGATTTCTGCCAATCAACGGTTATGATTTTTTGCAAATTAAACTTATTAATTAATTATTAATTCACAATAATAATACCTTTTTAAGTTATGATATGATTGTAAGAGGTTGTAAAAAAAAAGTTGTAAGTATAACCTTTGTAACTATCCTTAGGTGTGCATGTAAGGATGGGCTACAATTTTCGTTTAAATGCATTTCTTTTCAAAGTTAGACATTGTCGCGTTGTTGCATGCTTTAAACAACCTTTTTAAAGCATGCTTTTATTAGGAGTGTTTAAGGATAATTGGAAAAGTTGAGATAGGTTTTCTAATTGATTATGTTTTGGCAGGAGGTTTTAAAAAATTTGCACATCATTCATATTTGTATAGCAATTTCAGTTTGTGTAATATTGAAAATTTTTGCCATTTCAGAATATCATTCAGAGGGTGGTATTCTCATTACCCCATCAAACCAAAAAGCAGAAAAAAATAGTAATGGACACAAATATCCCTTCTCAAAAAAATGTGGCAAAAGAAAGACGAATAGAGAGAGTCTTCTTTATATTTAGTCAAGGGTTAATTTGATAATTTTATCCTATTTTTTTCATCAATATTTTACCTTTAACCAAACATATATTCAAAAAATTTAACCCAATTTTTTCGTTAATATTTTGGCTTACCAAACAATTTTTTTTTAACTTTCCTACCAAACTTATTTTTCTATTATATTCTTAATAATTATTTTTTTCTAATAAAAAAAATTTCGCCTCTAGTAAACGTTCTTTTTTGAAAAAATGATACTTAGACAGACTTTAAAGTTAGAAATTTCAATATTGAACACATGCCAACACAGCACAAGCTGCACTTCGGGAGAAGGGAAGGGTCACTTCAAAAAAAATAAAAATAAAATAAAATAAAAGGAGGTGAAAGGAAAGTTTCACAGATATTGCATATAATAACCTCAACAGTACCTTTTTAGTTGAATTAACTAGTACATTTTAAAAATAAATATAATTGATTAAAAATTAGCAATTGATTAAAGGGATTAATTTCAAATTTTAAACTTGTCTTGGTATTCTAAATTGTCTTTTTTTATTTTTGACGTGGAAGATAATTTATTCATTAACAACTAAAATCCAAATAAGCAAGGTTACAAATCTGAATAGGTGCCTCTTCAATCCAAACTTTTCTGGAGGCGAGAGAGCTAGGCCTGCTAATTCTTGAGCAACAATGTTCCTGGTTCTCCGAACACGGGCAATCGAGAAAAGTGTAAAAACATAAAGAATAAAGGGCTCATCAATCAACTAAACCATCGCTCTGAAAGATAAATTTTATTCAGCAAGAGGCATAGCAAACTTTTTTTTTTTTTCCTTCAATTTCTCCTGTTTCTTTTTTTTTTTAAATAATTTTTGATAATTATGGATTCATAATTTAAAATTAAAATGAATCATTAAAAAAAATTGACAACTCATTCAATGTATTGTCTACGGGTTTTATGTTTATTATTTTACATAACATAACTCTACTTTCCTACACACACATTAAAGAGGTGAGGTTCACATGTTTTTCTTTCTCTTTCATCATTTCACTTTTTCTCTCTCTATTATTGTGTGTGTTGGAAAACCCACTTATATCATGTCACATAACATTAATAAAACCCATTGTCTATAAGCTTGAATTTTAGTTTTATGTATAATCAGTTGGTGCCAGGAAACTAAGTATGGGGTGAGTAGCATATGTTCGATCTTTCGCAATACTGATTTTGGGAGAAATTTAAAGTCTTAGTCTCAAGACCAACCCGTTCCGAATCGGACTAGTCGCGAAACGATAATATACAATGATAGTAGGTGTTTTTTTTTAATAATATCTATCAATTTATCAATAATTTGACTAAACCGATTCGAGTTGGTCATAACGGGATAGCAGTACTATACGATGATATCAGATCAAAATAAGACATTATAATAAGGACTGAATCGTATGGGCTTCGACTGGTCTGTTAGTCCTCAATATGATTGGGTTCTTCCTAATACGTTTGGGCCTACCGTGTTTAATGGTGTTGGGCTGATCCGCAACATAAACAAACCGAACAGGTAACATTTTTTTGGATCGCTCACATTTAATCATTTTTTCATCTTTTGTTTTCCTAAAGCAGTTAAGGGCATGTTTCGATGCGTCTGTGAACAAATAATTTTTTATGTATTAGTTTTTTTTAGAAGTACTTAGTTATTTTGCATTTAGACCAGTATTTAAAATAAATAAAAAAGTAAAAGAAATTTTTTTATTTACTTTTTTCAGAAGTCAGAAATTTTGGCTTAAAAAAACACAATTTTAGTTTTTTTTCTGATTTTTATTTTTTCATAAATTACTTCAAAATACATACATAAAATAAAAAAATTACTTTCATTTTGAAAAAATAAACAGTTTACTGGTATAAAAAAAAAAAAAAAAAAAAACTCGTTCAAGACTATAAACTCTAAACAGAAACCAAAAGCAAAGATCGGAAATGTCTAATAGACGGTTGACTAATCTGTTTAGTTTGCAGACTCCTCAGAGTCTCAGACAAATCTTTTCTTTCTTCTTTTTTTCCTTAAAAGAGACCATATTTTTCGCAACATTTTATTATAAACAACAAGTGATGATAGTAATTTTGGCAGAGGATAGATTCTTTTACCATTGGTGAACGGAAATAATATATATTTGTTTCTACGTCACCATTGCCACTACTTTGAATCACTTTTTTTCAGGACATTCAATTTCCATCTTCTATTTTACAAAACTATTATATTGAAATTATAATTTCAAATTGTCATAATTTTACATTATGCATTAAATAATTGCTGTTCAGCAATTGAAATTTAAAAACTTAATGTTATATACATATTACTTGCATATAATTATTTTGAACATTGAACTGTCACTTCTATCAGAATCATCAACAGCAGCTGAGCTTGATCAGAAGGAGTTTGTTAAGTTAGTTAGTTGATATGACAGTTAGTTAGTTTAGTTAGTTGATCATTTCCAACTAACTTTACACTTTCTGTTATATAGTGAATGTGTATATATAGGATGTGATGTACTCTTATTCATTTTCATCGATCATTTCTGTAAGTTCTCTCTTTTGATAATAAGAGAAACTGTTTTTCATCTTCTCTCTGATAAGATGGTATCAGATTTTCAAGATTCTTTTTTCTAAATCTTCCGCTGTTCTTCATTCTTTTTCAGTTCTTTCTCTGTTTCTTCCATGGCAAACCATGCAGACTTCCTTACTAATCCAGGAAATCCATTTTTCCTACATCCCAGTGAAAGTCCATCACAGATTCTTGTTCCTTCTTTATTGACAGGAAGCAATTATCACTCTTGGTCTCGATCAATGACAATGGCTCTTCGTTCCAAGAATAAAGTGGGTTTCATAGATGGCACCATTGCTCCTCCGACAGCTGAGGATCCTCTCTTCTTTGCTTGGGATCGATGTAACACCATTGTCCTGACATGGCTACATCGTTCCATATCAGAAGTCATTGCTCAATCCATCCTTTGGGTAGATCGTGCTTCTGATGCTTGGATAGAACTTAGAAATAGGTTCTTTCAAGTTGATCTTTTTCGAATTTCTACTCTTCAAGAAGATTTTTATCATCTTCATCAAGGTGACAGTTCTGTCACAGATTATTTCACTCGCTTAAAGACGCTTTGGGATGAACTTGAGAACCTAAAGCCTCTCCCTGCTTGCACATGTGGAGCCAGAACTCAAATAAGAGCAGATAGAGATCGTGATCTTGTTATTCGTTTCTTGAAAGGGTTGAACGACCAATTTACCAATGTACGATCTCAGGTGATGTTGCTTGAACCATTTCCTTCTGTTCATAAAGCTTTCTCTTTAATTCTTCAGCAAGAACGTGAATTCAGCACCACAATAGCCACAGAAATAGATTCTCGAGTTCTTTATCATACCTCGAGTCAATCCAATCGTGGTAGAGGTTCATTCCAAAGAGGACGTGGTCGCACATATGGAGGCAGAGGACAATCACATCAGATGAAAACTTGTACTCACTGTGGTAGGAATAACCATACAGTGGATACATGTTACAAACTGCATGGATACCCTCCAGGATATAGTTTCAAGAATTCTCAGGCAAATAATGCCTCTCTTGATGTTGAAACTGATCATCATGACATAGATGATCCTGCCAATCAGATTCTTAATCTGAATTCTCTTCAAGATCAATGCCAACAGATGCTTGGTCTTCTTCAACAAGCTACAAAAAGTCTGAATCCAAATACTGCATCTACAAATTTCGTTCATGCTGCTACAATTGGAAACGATGCCAATATTGGTTCTATATCTTGCAATGCAAACACCACAGGTACAACCTCTAATCGTTGGCTCCTAGATACTGGAGCTACCGATCACATCTCCTACCTTCGTTCCAGTTTTCAAACCATTCGTAAGATTGTTCCACTCTTTATTTCTTTGCCAAATGGCTCCTCTGTTATTGCAAGATTTTCTGGAAATATACATATAACACCCAATCTGATTTTAGTGGATGTTTTATATGTGCCAGAATTCCAAGTTAACCTCATTTCTGTTACCAAGTTACTCAAAACCATACCTTGTATTCTGACTTTCCAAAATTCTTCTTGTATCATTACACAGATACCTTCGAATGTGAAGATTGGTACAGCTAAGCAGCAAGGGGGTCTTTTCATTCTTGATCACCAAGACCATAAACCAACTTCATTTCAAGACAAGTCAAACAGCACTACTGCAAATA